CTCCACATTCGAGATGTTGGAAGGTGGTGCCAACTCTGTCGCCGCGTCGTCTGAATCTCTACCAAACCCCACCTGCTGCACATGGTGTGCACACCCGGAGCAAGTTGGGATGCGCTCTCGGCGTCGACTCCTTCCACCGCAGCGCCTGGCCTCCCTTGAGCTCGTCACTATGACCACCATGATAGTAAAGAACTTCAATAAACCGCTGTCAAACGACTAGCCGGTAGTGAAGCTCAATGCCTTGCATTCTACCTCAAGCTCCAGCTGCTTCTGCACCTCCGCCATGGCTGCTGCTTTTGAATGTGATTGACAAAACCAAAGTTTGTCAACTCACACCCAAAGGCCTTCTCTTCGTCCGTGACAAACAACAACGACGAAGAACTTCAATAAACCGTCGTCAAACGACTAGCCGGTCATGAAGCCTCGACTGCAGCTCTCCGTCCGTCGAGTTCCATCCCTACAAAGCACCATATATAAAGAAAAAAAAAAGAAAAAAAAAGAAAAAAAAAAAAAAGGGTTTTCCAAATGGTGGCCAGCCACCGAAAGCAAAGAAAAGTGATTGACAGGCACCATCCAAAAGGAAATGATAAAAAAAGGAAAAAACAAGAAAGGCAAGTCATGGTGTATGCTACTATTCGCAAGTATGAAAAAGGAAATAGGTGGTGGAGACAGAATAATTGAAAGGAAGAAAGCAGGGGGAAGACGACGAATTTCCGTCTAAAAATAGGGAGTAAAAGAATAGTGCGCATCAGGTACCATCTAAATAAAATAAAATAAAGGAGTAACACATCTTAGTTAGATATATGTTTTAGCACAACATACTGAATAAAATAAAGCATGTCCATTGACATCTCCAAAAAAAAAAAAAAAAAAAAAAAAAAAAAAAGTCAAATCAAATTTATAGGAAGGGATCTTCAAGCATGATCAGGTGGCGCCTCATCACTCGGCGGAGCTCCAGAAAGACAAAGCACCAGAGATTGATTATCCGGAGCTTCAACACTTGGTGAAGCGCCAGATGACGAAGGCAGAAGTTGCTGCTGGAGTAACGTCACAAACCTCTGATGATCACTCTGAATCTGAACTTCGGACTCCTGCAGTTGGTCAAGCTTCCTCTTCATGCTTGTTGAGTAATTAGTTGCGAGCATGTGCAACTCTTTATTCTCGTGCCTAAGCACCCTGACCTCTTGTCGAAGACTGGCCACCTCAGCCATCAACGACTCAACCTGACGAGATCGAGCAAGAAGGCGTTGGCCCATGTTTGAAACTGAACCTGCACATCGGACGCTGTAGGCCAGAGAGTCCTGAACAGCCAGCTCGTCGGACCGCCTGGAAAGTATCCTAGTGTCTCTAGGAGTGAGAAGATTTCTGGCCACCACCGAAGCGGTTGTATCGTTCATCATCATAGAATCCCCAACTGTAAGATGACCATTGGGAGATACGAAGGACGGCTGCCAAATGTTGTTTGAAGAAGATATGTCATTATCTTCCCCGACATTCAAGTTAAGACGACGGTCAGAAGGGCAAGACATTTTCGAAGGTGTGAAGAAAAAAAGAAGAGGTCGGACAAATCAAGTTCTTAGAAGTACAAGTAGGGAGCTTCTACAGGCGGAAAATTCAAGTGTGCTTTGGAATGTGATGCGTGCCTCTCTTTTAAAATCAGCACTTTCAAAAATCGAAGAGGCGAGTTCAGAAATCGAAGAGGCAAGCTCAGAGATCGAAGAGACGTATGCTTTCTCAAAAGCTGGGCTGCTCAGAAACCACGGGCCGATCTCAGATATCGAAGAGGCGCCAATCTTTTTCAGCCTCGTCAGCATCTATCACATGCACACTCAGCTTTGCGAAAATCACGGATAATTTGTCAAAGCGCCAATCTCAGATATCGAAGAGGCGCCAGTCTTTTTCAGCCTCGTCAGCACCTGTCACATGCACACTTAGCTTTGCGGAAATTACGGGCAATTTGTCGAAGATTTCTGATGAAGAAGAAAGCGCGTAGAGCCATACTGATCAATCACTCAATGGTTGCCAACACGAGTGAAAGAATAGTACCTCTACAGGTATTAAAGAACTTCCTATAACTGTCCACCTTCACCGTCCATAGCAAGGCAGACCCGCAAAAATGCCTAACCCTTCCTCATTTTCGAGAGTACACTCTCAGCAGAGCCTCTCGAAATACCCAGTTTTCTTCATCTCCTGGAGTACCTCTGCAAACAAATGACACCCAAAGCAAAAGTATCTCATATCACCAGGGTAGAAAGCAAGAGTATCTCATATCATGCTTTCTCCTTGTCCTTTCCTTTGTCCTTGTTCGTACCTGCAAAGACAAGGATAAAGAAAGCAATATGTCGGAACCTCCACTCAAACTCCGGGCAAGGAACCGACTACCGGGAACCTTTGCCCGGTTGCTTACCTGGCTTTGCTCTTGAGTACTCGTCTTCAGTTGCTGATGTACTTCCGAAGAAGATGCCATGATTTCCCGGAGAACAGATAAGGCAAGTGAAAATGATACCTTGAAGCATGTGGAGACAACGTGCTGATTTCCTTCAAGATCAAGTCTCCCCTTCCTTGCATAATCAACCAACCCAGCAGAAGGAGTCTGAGTTGAATCCAAGAGCTCGAGAAGTTTCAACAAACATATTGGCGGCACCATCGTCGAAGAACAAAGCCTCGCTGTGCAACGCTGTCAAATCGCCACCACTTCTTCGAAAGCAAGAGTATTTCATATCATGCTTTCTCCCTATCCTTTTCTTTGTCCTTGTTTTTATCTGCGGGACAAGGAGAAAGAAAGTAATCAGACAACACTTGGTATCAAACTTCCGATCTGGAATCAACTGCTTGGAACCCTTCCCTGATTGCTTACCTAGCACTGCTCTCGAAATACCCATTGTTTCAACATCTTATGCTTCTAGAGAAAATACCACATCTGCCTGAAGAACAGATAAGGCAAGGGAAAATGATACATTGAAGCATGTAGAGACAAGCACAACAAAACACGAGTCGATTCATCCGTTACTTCTTCAAAATCAAAAGTATCTCATATCATTAGGGTTTCAATCACTTTGGGTTTGGTGGACCTGTTTTGACCCTCAAATTCTTGGGTCGACCCGCTAGACGTTGTGAGCTACACGTGCCGATTTACCACCCTTGAATCAAATCCTTAAAGATCAAGTCACCAACTAGAAGAAAAGCCCATCAATCTTGAAGATCATACCGTTGACCAAACTGCTCAGGTGTGAATTGGAAAGATTGAACAAAGCAACAAGTCGTCACTTTCACCTCGTGCCTGCTTGCAATATGTTCGAGTCAACCTTCAAGAATCAAGCCTCAACGGCCCTTGAAGAAGTTTCCAGCCAAATTCAAGATCAAGCCTCGACGGCCCTTGAGGAAATCACAAGTCCGATTCAAGATTAAGTGTCTACCACCCTTAAATCAAAACCTAGTTCAAGAATAACCTGTGGAAAGTCAACAATTGGAGGAAACCAAAAAAGTCATCCGAACCAGTTCAAGATCGAAGCTGTGGAAAGTCAACAATTGGAGGAAACCAGAAAATCCTCCGAACCAGTTCAAGATCAAAGCTGTGGAAAGTCAATAAGCGCAACAAAATACGTGCCGATTCACCCACTACCAAAGCAAAAGATCATCTACCACATGAAGCTCCTTGTGGTCCAATTTCAACCTTCAAGATCAAGCCTCAACGGCTTTTGAAGAAATTTCAAACAAAGTTCAAGATCAAGCCCCAACGGCTCTTGAAGAAATCACCAACCCAGTTCAAGATCAAGCCTCAACGGCCCTTGGATCAACCTCTGCAGTAAGGGACTTCAAAAATGCATCTTCTACACGTGACAAGCACATGTATACGACGCGCCTTGAAGTGGGGGCATTTGTAGACATCGAAATTTCGGTAAAATAAATGTTGATCAATAATTAAAATTTCAATGTTTATGTGTCACATAAATTTTACACATAGCATGTGACTAAACGAAAAATCAAAATAAATCGGAAAAGTCATCAAACAGGACACGTGTCAACACCTGGCAGAAATGATTTATTTTATCTAATTATTTAAATCCAAAAAAATCAAGTTTTGGAATTCTATAAATAGGAGGCCAAGGCATTCATTTTGAAGGACCAATTGATAACCAATTCACTTCATACCACAACCTTGAAGCTTTGAAACTCAAAAGCTCCCAAGCAAATCCCGAAGGATCAAGAGAGCTCTCTTCGTTCTTCGTCAAATCCTCATTCAAAATCAAGCCCCAACGGCCCTTGAAGAACTTCCGCTGATTCAAGATCAAGCCCCGACGGCCCTTGAAGAAAGTGTCAATCGTTCATCATTCGTTTATCCCTAGATCAAGCCCCGACGGCCCTTTGGATCCACGACGTCAACAAATCTGCACAACTGTTTATCCCAAGATCAAGCCCCGACGGCCCTTTGGATCAACAACATCAAATCCATCCATTGCAAAGATAGAATCAGAGGCTAAATTTGTAGAAGAGATTGTAACCCCTAAATCATTAATACAAATATTATTTTGTACACGTGTTCTTGTCTCGTTCATTGCAGGAAATTCTGTGTTTACAGAAACACTTGCAGCAACGTAAGATTATTTTACCTTTACATTTATTGTGTACGGTTTTTCCTTTTATCATTGTAGGACTCTTTCACCATCGCATCCTTACAAAACTAACCTTAATAATATAAATAAATGTTTATTTGTTAAGATTAGGGGGAGGTCCAAACAAAGTATTTTGTTATATATTTCTTTTCATGTTCTTTTTGCATTCCTTTTTTTTTTTGTTTCTTTGCGGTATGAGGCTGAGGCTGACCATAATAATATTAGCAAAACTAGAGTAGAAGAGACACATCAACTATAAAACTGGCGATCCATATTATACATCATTAATAGATGGTCTACAATTCTCCAATAAGTAATATTATTTTGTAAACCCTAATTAAACCATCCCCAACTTTAGGAGTTAGTTCTACAATTTCTTGCAGATGATACTGGTGGAGAATTATTCATAAGAAATAACCATAACATGATATACACGTTTATTAACCCCTCCGTCAAGTTAAAATCTGACTACTGATCGTTCACGTCGTCATGATGTCGATCACTGCTTCTTACATTAATTGTTCCAAACTAGTCCAAGCATCCCCAAATTCAAACCCAGTATCGTGGTGGAGTGCCGGCAATAATTCACTGCATTCATCACCACAGTATTCACCGAAAAGTTCATTAATATTCATCGATCCAGTGGCTACTGATGACATGAGCGCTGCATCGTCATATCCCATCAGGCTTGATAATTGTTGATCAGATGTTGGAGCCTCAAAATTAGAGCCATAATCTTGGGCGTTCATATTAATACCATGATCATTAACATGATGATGATCACCAAATGAAACATTACCCTGGCCGTTCATATTGGTTAGGGCAGCCGATCTGGACGATGACCTTGACATGGATATTAGGCTTTCCCATGCGGATGCTCGTAGTATGTCAAGGCACTGTGGAACTAGTGGTGGAGCAAACTGATGATGTTCATCGGAAAGCGACGGCGCTGGCGCAGATTCAAGCATACGCAGTTTGGATTCTTTGACAAATCTTGCTTCGGCTTGAAGCCTGGCACTTTCCCATTGAGCAATGTGGCTGAGATTTGACCAGTTTTTGGGGTCGCCATTTGCAGAGCCAAGAATGGCAGCCTTGGGCTTGTGGGTTACAGGGTCAAACCCTATCTTTGCCAACCTTTTCTTCAGATGCGTGTTCCAATAGTTCTTGACCTCGTTGTCTGTTCTCCTTGGCAAATGGGCAGCTATGGCCGACCACCTACATGCAGTACATGGATATTTATATATATTAGCTCGCATGGAAATATACAGTATAAGAGTGAAGGAAAACTAAACCATAAGCATTTTCACTATCATTATTTTAATTTTCTGAAAGGTAATGTTTCTGTGTTGTGAGTTTTATTGATAGAGTAATGACGACAAAATTTATAGAGAAAATTTTATAAATTAAATGACATAAAAGTTGATGAATGAATTTTCGTTTAAACGTTGATAAATGTACTCATTTCCTAATAGGACACATAATTTAGTTCGTAAATTTTGTCCACAAAAGAAAAATTACAAAACCAAAAACAAAAACAAAAGGAAAACCAACAAATTAAGTTCTCTTTTGAATCAAAGTTATATGCTGTATATGAATGTTTAAGAGAATATCAACTTAAATAATATATTTTACCTGTTGCCAAGAAGTGCATGGAGTTGAATGATGGTTTGGTCTTCATGCAAGCTGAAATTTCCCCTCTTAATATCAGGTCTGAGGTAGTTTCTCCACCTTAGCCTACAGCTCTTCCCGCATCTTTTGAGACCTGTACGCATATAAACAGAAGGCCAAGTTAAGTAGGGATAGCTATGATCAACAAATTAATTACTACATGAAAGAAGAGGAAGATATGTAGGTTTTCTTATAAGGAAACAATATTCATTAGATATTAGATAACCATACATCAAAGACGTCTACAGGCCGTACAACCCAAAATAATCACAGCCCTAAACTCAACCCATTATACGTACCAGCTTTCTGGGGCAAGGAACGCCAGCTTCCATGGCCGTGTAGTTGAATGTACGCTAAAAGCTTTCTGTCCTCCTCAGGAGTCCATGGACCTCTCTTTATCCCTGACGCCGCTGCATAGCAACTAGATTTTCCCATCTGTCTAGCTTGAAGGATTTAGTATTTATATCTTGGTGGAAATGGTGATGGTAAGACTAGAGTGGTAGCTAATTTGCCAGCAATTAGAGACTTTCCCTTTCTGTAAGATATTGTGTTGGGTACGACCTAGAACGGCCACATTGCATTACTATTTATATCGGACACAAATGGGTTTTATTTATTTAATTTTTTTTGTTACCCAAACATGGAAATTATGATCTATTTATTCAAACTACCCTTTCTCTCTGTAAGAATTAATATAGTTTGGATTGCTATATTTACTAGGCCAGAGGCCAGGGTTAGAACCGTTGTGATTATTGATGAGTATTATATACATGCGGTTCAAGAAGTAAAGATTTGTGTCCCACTTCTAGCTGACAACGTCATATCGGACCGAGCTAGCTACCCTTAAAGTTTATTTTCCAATAATTAATTTGTGGATAATTTATACTTTATTACCCTTAAGTTTATCAAAATTAACACTTTACTACATTTACTTCTTTTGTATCACTTTTATACCTAAAGTTACTTTTTGCTCCAAAAATCATATTTCTGTTATTTTATCCGTTAAATTCTCTGTTAAATAATAGCTTGTCACACCCTTGCCCACCAAAACTTTAAAATCATAACAAAAAAAGTTTGGTTATTAAAAAAAAATCATAAATCTAAGTAGTAATTAAAATTGTGACTTCATGTGAAAAATGATTCAAGTTTATGATATCATTAAAATTTTAAATGAGGTCACAATTTCTGTTTAAAATACATCACTTAGGGTTAGCGAATGTAGATGTGAATTTGGTATTTTTAGGGTGCAGGAAATTGTGACCTCATTTAAAATTTTAATGGAGCTTTCAACTAAAGAGTATCACGCACCAAACATTACGAAGTATTACTCTGCATCTAACATGATATTACCAATTAGGTCGAGTCAAACCAACAGCATTTCTTGTTCCTCAAACAAAAATAATATTGCATGGATTAATTAGATTTACAGTATTGTTAGAACGACGTACTAATTGGGAAAAGAAACCCTAAACCCTATAGCCAAGTTATAAAACAATGGATCATCATTTATGATGATCCAAAGTTTGATGTCAGCCTTTTAGCTATAGTGAATTGAATGTGCAATCTGTTTTTTCAAATAAGAAACTAAAAAAGTTAAAGAAGTGATGCAGGGGGAAATCATTATTTCTTTTTCTGTAACAAATTATGTTATTTATGTTATTGTATTTTTATTTCTTATTAAGGCTTTAGGTTATTTTTTTTTCTATATAAGCTATGTAATTTAGAGTTTAGGGAAGATTTTTGGAATATTATTTACTCTTTGAGCGCCAAGGATTCTTTGCATTTTATCCCTTTTACGTGTGTTTGTTATATATGCATTAATGAGTGCACTTTTGAATCCACATAAAAAAAACCTGCGTTGTAGTTTGGGTTAAAGAGAGAACACGAAGACTTCTATACTATCTACCGTAGCAGGAGTATAGATGCTATTCTTTTTCTTTCTTTTCTTTCAAATACTCATTTAATTATATTATCCAATATATACATTTTAAACCGTTTTTAGGTCAAGCCATCAAACCCTTTTTCTCTGCACTTCTATTTTGGTTCTAATTCCTCCTTTTTAATTTTTCTTTGGTGAAATATTTACTGAAATTCATGGTGGGGTTTAAATGAAATTAATGTAAAAAACACGTGCAGATTGAACTTCTTTTACATTAACGATTTTAATGCCACTCAGTTAATGTACTGATATTATATATCGGGTCCGAATCTGAACACAATCTCTCTTATATTGATGGTATGTATGGCCTAATATTAAGTCCTTTATTTCGTTTACCATGACCACGTATGATTTGTACTAGTTAGACTAGGGTTTTGAAGATTTTGCTCATCTGGAATTTATCCGTAAATTGTTGAAATTTTTAAATATATGGGTTGACACAAGCACTAAGTATTAACGGAAAGAAAGCAAGATTGCTTGATTGTAGCAACGTATCAATTAGCTATGAAGATTGATTGTAATTGTTGTATATAGCTGCACCTAGAATAGATCATTATAGATTGTATAAATATAGCTCTACATCTTGTAATATTATTGACCAATCAATACAGGAGAAATTCTCTCATAATTCACATATTTTCAACATAGAATTAGAGTAAGCGAGCAGGCCCATACTGCCACGTGATGGGTGGGTCCCCTTGGCCCCTTGCGATGATGGTGGGTCCCTTGGCCCTGCGTGTAGGGTGAGTTCCCTAGGCTCCATGTGGTTGTCGATGTGTGGATCTCCCACGTGTAACCCACTAATTGGGTCCCACGTGAGGGCGTGTTGAAATATCCTACATCAACCGTTCATTTGAGAACATAAGAGTTTAAATATATAAAACCTCATATCTGACGGATGGTGCAATTGGTAATTACCAAATTAGGGACAATATCGATATTGTTGGAAGTAGACATTAAGCTCGTCTCTTTGATAACTCTACACTAAAAGCATGGAAAATCAAATTTACTCTCGGTTTAACAGTTTCTCAAACTGACCCATATGTCTCTTTCTTAAACAACCTGTTGCTGATGTGGTTATATTGTTATTATATGTTGTTAACATTATATTAATAGGATCTTCTATATATGTCCTTGGTTTAAAGTGTAATAGATGATTTGGGTGTTGTTTTTGTTATGAAAGACATGGCCATATGTAACTATTTCTAAAAATTCAGGTTTCTTATGCATCAAATGGGGACATTTTCCCTAATCAAGGTAGGCATACATGGGATTTTCTTTCCAAAGCTTGCATGGATATGTAATACACCTCATATATATGTAATTTATTAAAAAATGGAGGAGTTGTTTGACCAAACTCTGTACACTTTAAAGGAGCTTAGTGGAAGAAGTTCAATACCTCACCTTCATCGTACCAGACAGCGTTTTCGATGAACCATGCGTGTCAGTGTATGAATTCTTCGGCGTTTAACAACTTCATTTGCCGAACATTGCTTCTAAAGTTTATTGGATCATACAGATGTTGCGCGACCTTCATGCATGTGTTCTTATCTGAACCACCTTTACTTCAACGTGATAACCTTTCTGACTTGGCCTTAAGCTCTAATCCATTTGTTCGTGAAATAGGGATGTTCTTGTTGTTAGCCATAGTGTTTATATGATCAAAACACTTGCTGAGTAATTGACAAGAACAAATATAAAACTCTTACCTGAAGAAGGTGCAGCTGCAGCCATGGAAACAATGATCTTGTGAAGAACCGATCGAGAATGACAAAACACCAAGTCTTCCGCGAACTCCTAGCTTGATTACAATGCTCTATGGGAAGCCTTAGTTGTTGTGTCTAGGGAATTTGCAGGGATCGGTGTTTATATACCAGCCAAAAGCTTTAGATTTCGTCCATAAGGGAAAGCTAAAAACTTTGCTTCTTGGTTGTCAAGTAAAGTATCATAATCATATATTATTAATAGGACTTAATGAAAACATACTTAGAATGTAATGTATGGTTGATACGTGAGAATCAAATCATAACTTTACTGATTTCCAACTTATACATTAATTCCTATTACATATAGTAAACCATTTATGGTTTACTCATATTGAATAAATCCAACACTTGTTTGATATGTGCCTTTTGAATACTATTGAAGAACAAGTTGATGATGTTCAAATATATAATACAAAGTATACAGAGTTCACTTTTCTCTTCTTTCACTTCTCACTCTAGATTCTTCTTCCACAGCAGTACGTTATCACTCTTGATAGTAACTAATAGGTTGGTTCAAACCAACCTTCTACAACGACGATAAATAAATATATGAAATAGAATCGATCGTGACCTTTCCTTTTTGTTTTGGTTGGGAAGGAGGGGGTTGAAGAATCTCAGATCTTCATCAATGGATTTATGGCAAAGGACGACAAAACTAAACTGGGCGCAAGCCAAGATCAGTCTAGGTCCCACAATGTCCCTTCATATTTACTTTGCCAACTCCATATTCCCGATTCATGATGCCTAAAGTCTAAAGATGCATGTTTTATTTCCTTAAGTTTAGTTCGATCGAATCCATATACCAACAGGCCGTCGAAGGGTGATTTTGAAAGAGTTGAGATTTCTATCTATTATAAAACTAATTAACTAGAAGGTTTGATAAATTTTCGATGTCGAGCAACTTTTCACATTCTCATGTGCTCCTTATATGTGGTGGGTTTTTAAGCCTAATACTTATATAATAAAATTGGGTGACGTGGAATATGTATATATGCCCCTTAAACTCAAAGTATGGGTTAATCTACTATAATACAATGAATTCAGCAATGTGCTTACAGCTAATGAGGTGCATATATATGCAACTCGAGTAGATTTGGTTTGGTTCTTAGAGGTAACCAAACCTAATTATTTTGTATTCTATTAAAATTATTGAAACCAGAATACAAACTATTGGAATATAATACTTTATTAAAGAAAGAACTACATAATTGTCAAGAAGGCTACATAAAACAAAGAAACTACAACTTGATGGACTTCTTTCTCATACTAAACTATAAGCTATATTTATAGAGACAAAAACTAATAAGCTCTATTTCATATGAGTTAGGCTCATACCCAAACAATAAAATAGATAACTAGTTTTCCAACACTAATAAATTTAGGAGATGGAACCAATTTAAACCAAACTAAATGCTAATTTACACTATCTTACCTGAACCAAACTGTAAACGATTGTACTCATGGTGAAGAAAAAGAACTGTTTGGTACCGTTATACAGCTAGATTAAGCTAATTAACTAATAAATATATAAGGGCTTCGAATAAGCTTACAATGAGTGTTTCCTATTAGGACTATGTACACTATATAAAGTAATAGTGTATATGGTGCAAATGACTTTTTCAACAACCTTTTGTAGCAACTAATCTATAGTGCAAATGACTCAATTACCCTTCCTAACAACTTTACACTAACTAACTCAATCCTTTTAACAAACATAACTACTTAACCAATCATACAATCCCACATGGACTAATGACAGGTACGTACAGTTGGTAGTGTGGATAGGTTGAACAACAATAAATAATATCTTTAGATTCCAACAATCCAACTTATAGTACTACTATACTTAAAGCGTACGTGTTTCAATTATATGGACACCTTACATAAACAATACTACGGAAATTCTTGGCTTCTTACCCGTTTAATTTTTCCTTGGAGACAAATAATGTATTTTGCTAGACGTTTGTTTGTTTGTTTGTTTGTTTTTTTGTTTCTTGTGTTTTTTTTTTTTTTTTGTGATTTTAATAAGTAATGTTAGAATATCATTACCAGCTCAGAAATGAGTTAAATGGTACACAATGTATATCATTAAACCAGCTCAGAAATGAGTGAAATGTGAACTCTCTGTGTCCCCACACAAAACCACCCCCCCCCACCTCTCTTCTTTCTGCTTATTTTATGTTTAATTTGGTTTCGTATCTCTCGTATATAATTACCATAAGAAGAATCTAAGGGGAAATATAGTTAATTGCATGAATATCCACCCTAAGGCAACCAATACACTAATCAAAGAGCGAGGTATTCATTGTACCAAAAAAGACATAATTTAGCCAAATACAATATGAAACAAAAATGTTACTCTTACTATCTATTTGTACTATCTCTCTAATAGGAATGACACTCACATGCATTACTCAACGTGAAAACCAATGCTAGCTAAACTATCAAGTCAAAAAATTGTCAAAGATATTCTATATGCGTCAAAGATACTATTTATTTTGCATGCATCTAGTCTTTTTTCATGGAAATTTTCGATATTCTACGACATCAAATTCCCTTTTAACATAAAAATCTTGGAATCTACGACCTCAAATTCCCTTTTAACATGCACCATGAGCCAAGATGTTGCTACTGCATCTATAAACCCATTAATGTTGAACCACAAATGACATCAACACCCACACCTTTTTTAATTTCTTACCAAAGTGTTAATTTCTGGATAAATATGTCCATACCCCTGTTTTATGACTGTTTAAAACCAATGCATACACAGCCATACCAATGTGGACGTTTAGCTTAATTTTGGAAAGACCATCAACGATTGAGAGGGTACTTGATGTTGATGAGGAAGGACTAAGGACAGGCTATCTATATGGAAATTTTAATGTACATTTGATAGCCATTTCAGTTTTTAATTTTTCTTAAAAATTTGAAAATTATTCCCACAAAATTTTGAAAACTTTCAAGTAATAATTTTCAGATTTTAGTTATTTGTTTTCATTTTTTTAACTGAAAATAGTCACTAAACAAAACTGATAGCTAAAAATAAAATGGTAATCAAAACAACCCATAAATTGATGACCATGTGATAGAATTTTGTTCCCAACAATGAATTAAAACGCTGTCTAGCGTATTGATAGAATTTTGTTCCCAACAATGAATTAAAACGCTGTCTAGCGTATTTAAGAAGTTTGTCAACATTGAAGAAGCATGCATTGTGAACCATAAGTTCTCTGTATCAGACCTGGCCAACTTTGCAAGTTTTTTCCACATCATCTTTATTTTTCGTACAAGTATTGTTGCGACTTAACTCCAAGTTTGATCAAACGTACATGTTAACTTAACTCCAAGTTTGATCAAACGTACGTGTTACCACATTGATTTCCACTTTGGTTTGATGGATGAGAGACTAGTAATAGTGTAACACTGTAGCAAAGGTGTGCTATCACAATCTGTAACTTTGATGATGAATTCCTGAGCCACTTTGGGTGATAACTCATAACAGAGAAATATTAATCATTTGCAAATGAGATGAGAAATAAGTGGGGTCGGGTTGAAGAAATTCTAGTAATGTCCTGACTAAGCTAGCACGCAGACACAGCAGCATATATAATTATATATCGTGATTCATGATCTCAAATCTCCAAGTTTTCAGTGCCAAGGGAACTCTTCTTAATCAACAGGATCAGAGCACACTAACACAATCTAGCTGCTGTGGAGTACTTTCAATTTTAAGCTTTTAACAGGCCAGTAGCATAGCTAAGTGCCAGTCCTGAATAATCCCGATGGCGAGATCAGAGATCAAATAGTATTATGTATCATTGTACGAGGACATCGTGCATGCAATTCACTAGTAAAAAAACACTTTGCGCGACGCAGGTCCTTCGTCGCGTAAAGTCAAAAAACATCGCGCAAAACTTTGCCCAACGCACCTTCGTCGCACGCAAACCGTCGCGGCAAGGCAGTGACAAAAGGCTTTGCGCGATGCATGTAATCCTTCGTCGCGCAAAGTCATTTTGCGCAACGCATGTAACCCTTCGTCGCGCGCAAAATGTCTTTGCGCGACGCATGTAACCCTTCGTCGTGCAAAGTCATTTTGCGCGATGCAACCTACGTCACGCAAGAGAACCCTTTTTTTGTTTTGGTCAATTTTTTTTTTAATTTTTAATAATATTGTAATTAAATTCTAAACAATAATTAATTAACCAAAAAAAGAAAAAACTACAAGTAGTCTTCTAAGTGGAGTGGCTACTGAGTATCGACAGAGTAAAATGGCTCGAAGGTCGAAGGTGTAGCAAGATCAGGTACTGTTAGCAAGATTTGGAGGCCGAACATCTGTATGGCTCATACAAGATCTCTCACATGCCCGACATAGGCCTTCATCTCCTCGCCATGGACCGCAAGCTGACTCCTTAGGGTTGTCACTTCCTCCTTCAAAGGAACAAGTCTTATAATGAGGCAAAACCAAATTGTATAATAGACTGAAATGAAACTGTGGTGGGAGCAACACCATTGTATGTTAGCAAATAGAAACATGAATAGCAGCATACTTCAGTGTAAACAAAGGAGAAAAGAATTGAGGATCAGATAAGTTTGAGCGGTTACTATACTTTGCATATTTTAGCATGAATAAACCAGTATTGTTAATCTAGATAATCAACAGCAAAGGCAAACCTCAAAGGATTGTCTTCTCCAATTCTGCCTCTAACATTATCCTTACTCTCTCCATGCCTAGTAAGTAATATTGGGCGGAGCGTGAGGTGTGTATTCACCTACAACAGTGTACCATAAATTTATGAATACATGACCCAAGTATGAAGAGACAAAACGACCAAAAAGGAGCCAAAGGAGCGCAAAAGAGACAGCGGGGGTGGGGAGGGCGTTTGGGGCTTGGGGATAATCAACTTATCTCAGTTTTTTATGTCGAGATTCCACTGTAAGATTTTGGTATGGTAATTACAAGTGCAATTTAAAAGAGGAACCTTTTACTAAGATGGTTAACTGTAATTTCATCAAGTGCAGATATAGATATATTCACCAAACAAGACATGTAATTAAAACTAGACGAAAACGACTAACAATGAAGACATATGCATGAATTCAAACCATTTAGAAACAAACTATAACTCAAGGTTCTGTGAGAACACTAGCTTACTTATTTAACTCGAACTATAACCATTTCATACTCCCACTAACTCAGCATATCAAAGCTCGAAATTAATTCCATAAATAATGAACCAATGTCAATGTCTTGACCTTTTCCCTGACCAATCTGTGCTTGATATGCATGTGCTTGGTTCCTGAAGACCTCTTGTTGTTCTTAGAATAGAAAACTATAGCAGTATTGTCACAAAGAATCTGTAAGGGCCTTCTAATGATATCTAGAACCCTCATTCCTTCTATAAATTTTCCTATCCATACAGTGCAGATATCATTGTACTATGCTCACGATTTTACAACTATTAACACAATCTTCTCGAAGCAATGATAACCCACACATAATCAACCTAACATAATCCAGGACAGAAATTATAAATACAAACCAAATTCCTCTGTATCCATCATGACAGCTATTTCAGTTAGCTTTTAGATCTCAAGAAAATGAAAACCCGATATTACTCTACTTATGAGAAATATCAGTGTCTCAGGCCAGATGATGATGCTGTAACAACTCTAAGTAGTTTTCAATACTTTGATATCTGCAAGTTTTGTTAATAGTAAGCACATTAGGTGAAAATGAAAATGAAAACAAGGAAAATGAAAACTTTCCTTGTTGCAAATCACTTTACGCAACATGTCACCCGTTTGCAACGTTTTTTTCATGCTATGACCAAGACTGGACTTCAAGTTAGCGAGTCTTAAATCAGTCCGAAACTGCACTAAACCTTTAGGAACAACCTATCAGGAAAAGTAAAAATTTGAACAAGCTTAAGAATCAGTTTTGCTACAGGCTACACGATTATATCAAATATTGTCCGGTGGTAGTACATTTAAGAAAGTCAACTAAGCAAATAACAGCCTGTAGCTAAACGTTTCATATCTTTGATCAGTGACCCCTATGCAAGCTCATTGATACCATTTAAAAATGATCCAGTCAAGAAAAGTATACAAATTAGCTAATGATTTTGTAGATACCTGAGCAGCGTTGTTAAATTCAGGTAAAGGATTCCCATTATTATATGTTGCTTTGACAAGTTCATAAAAAATGTAGCCATATAGTACGTCACTCTTCTCCAGTTGTTTGTTCAGACCTTCAACATAGTTTCGATGATGGCCTTCCCAATGAACTTCCAATGTTCTCTGACTCATATACGGCTCCAAAGCATCCTGTAAACAGAAACATTACATTTCAGTCAAGGAAGATCATATGCATATTGCAAGCATAATATAATTACATGTATGTATCATCACGTGACAAGAATAAGCAGCTCAAAACAGAATAGTAATCTCTACACAATAAGATTTACAACACGAGATGGATAACTTCATAGAATCAAATGCTACACCACACGAACTTCAGAAACCAAACAATCAAATTACTAAAGTATCTTGCAAATCCAATCAGGTAATAAGAAACCGCAAAACTTCTCTTGGTGCACCTAATGTGACACTTGAAGCTGACTTGGCCAACCCGATTTCATGTCCTTAAAATTGGTTTAAGGAGAAACTAGTCTACTTACAAGAATATAAGGAGGTTTCTTCAATCCATAGTAAGCACAAACTAACCCCAACTTTTGGCCTTAAACGGCTACAATGATTCCAGTCTCTTAAACTGAACAACAACTATTAACATACTGTTCGTGGCGGGAATTTCCGTGGGGAATGCTTCCTGGCCGACGAGCACACAGCTCCCCGAGAGGTTGGCACCGGTTGATGTTTTCTGTCAGGCTTCTGCTTTACTGGCGGGCCTGTCGGGCAAGGCTGAAAGAGAAGGACAGAGTTAACTTTGAAATGTGCCTTTGTGGGGCCTTGAATGTAGGCCTTGAGGCTCACGATCAAGATTAACTTTGAATTGCTCAGGCGTGCCACTACCATCTTCAGCATGGTAGATGTAGAACGGATGTTTAAGTTTTAATTATATATATTTGAGAGACTATGTTAGTCATTGACAGGTGCCTTTGTGGGGCCTTAGGTGTAGGCCTTGAGGCTTCCCATAAATAACTAACTTAGTACTCAAACACATAAGGTTCCTTTTGTTGATTATATAAGTCTTATAACTATCATATTTCTGATCACCTGAGCTCAAAGAGCAGAATGAATCCAAATAGGTGCCTTTGTGGGGCCTTGAATAGGCCTTGAGGCTTCCCATCAGAACCCCTTCCGTACTCAATGTTCTTGCCCGAGAAATAGGATGAATCCAAATAGGTGCCTTTGTGGGGCCTTGAATAGGCCTTGAGGCTTCCCATCAGAACTCATCCCGTACTCGAACGTTCTTGCCCGAGAAATAGGATGAATCCAAATAGGTGCCTTTGTGGGGCCTTGAATAGGCCTTGAGGCTTCCCATCAGAATTCATCATGTACTCGAACATTATATGGTCATCATAATATAACAGAAATAAAATCAAGTGGCAGGTCGATTACTTGCGCCCCAAGTAACTTCGGACTTCTTGTTTATCAAAGCTTGTCGTGGATGGGTTAAGTCCACATCAGGTTCTTTTTTATGCCTTAATCAAATCTTATATGCCCGAGGGCTTAGAACTTAGATCTGGCTTGAACTATGAAGACATATTCAAATGGGATTCAAGTGCTGAGAGAGTCTTTTAATAGCCATATTACTAGAAATAACTTGGATACAACTTGAAGTATACAACATATTGCTAGGTTAATGAATGAAAAGACAAAAGCAAAGAAGGTCGGACAAGGTTTAACCTTGTCGGGCAAGGCTGATCGTCTTGCAATTTCCTATCTTTGTGGGTTAACATAAGGTTTGAAGGTTTAGAAAAGGGGTTGGGAAATGAGTTTGCAGAAAGAAAATCGATACTACAGCAGGCGTTGAACAGGGTAGCAGAGCTATTACAAAGGGTTTTATCCCGAAATGGATGAAGGCTTGGGCTGACTATAGCTTCATTTTGAAGGCAAATCTGGCTTTGAGCAGAGTTTGTGCTTTTGTTTATTTGTTTGAGTGTCCTTGATTCTGACTTCTCTTTCTCCTTTTATAGACGCCTTGGCTTGGCCTCATGTAGCAATAATCTTGCCCGAATGCAGTTTGAAAGATAGTGACTCACTAGCTATTTACTTGTACTGCCATTTAAAAGTACTTTTTGGGCTGATTAGTTGGCTGGTCTATACCACTTGGCCCTTGGGTATGTGAGCAAGTGGTGCAAATGATCTGCACCTAGTCAGAAACGGGCTTCTCCTGTCTTCTAGACTTTGGCTGGGTTTCTTCCTTTTAGGCTGCTCTTTGGGCCAACTTCCCCCGAGCCCAAAGTTTAAGTTTTGATCCAAACACATACATAGAGAGTAATTCTTAAACCTTAAAATTCAGCCCATTTCCTAATAATTTATCCCAAATAAAAACATGATTCAATCCCCATTTCAAAATTAAAACCTTAATTCCCATTCACAATTTTTTAAACCCTGAAATCCATCCCATGCCCTAGTAATTTATCCCAAATTAAAACCCTAAATTCTAAAATTCATCTCAATTCACAATCAAAATCCTTAATTTCACAATTCCATAATTTGTAATTAGACTTACTTTCAAGGAGAGAGAGGTGCATGACAAAGGGGGTGGTGGCTGCCTGTCGTTTAGAACGAAAGGGAGAGAGACAACCGACAGTGGGTTCGAGATTGGGGCAATTTGGGGTTCGAGCGAAGAGGAGGAAGCCTACGGGAGAGAGGGTGTGATGAGCGAAGAGGAGGAAGGCTATGGAAGAGAGAGACCGAGTGAGAGAGAGAGAGAGAGAAGGGGTCTGGGAAGAGGAGGAGGGCGTGAAGAGCGAATGGGTCTTGGAAGATTTTGTCCAAAATTATCAAAACTGGCGCTTATTTTTTACACTTGCACCAAAATATTCAAAACTAGCGCGACGTAGGTATACCATTCGACATCGCGCAAAGTGTTTTTGCGCGACGACAGCATAAAGACGTCGCGCAAGGTATTTTTTATTTAAAAAAATTATTATAAAAATGACTGAAAATGTGACTTTACTCATTTTAAATTTAATTATTTTTACATAAAACCCATAATAATATATTTTTTAACAAAAACCTGATTAATAAATTGGTAGCTACTTAATAAATATACATATCATTCAATTTCTTAAGTATTATACGTAAAAAATAAATAAATTTAAATCTACTTGATAAATATATATACCATTGAACTTGATGCGATACCACATTGTACGTAACTAATTTAAATGATCTAACCGTCAAACTTGTTTGTATATACTTCAAGATTCCATACACCAAAAATGGCAAAAAAACAAACCTTCAGAGTGATAGTAACGAGACAAATCTTTTCGACGGCTATAAACGAAAAAATCAAGATTTAACGGTTATTTTAACTCCGATTTTGATAATTTTTTACAACTACACTCTTGGATCTTATACGAATACAAGGAACTAATTCGATCGTCAATTTAAAACATTTACACAAGTTGATACCACAAAATCTTATGTTATACTTGATGAAAGTATAAATAAAATATAAGTGTTAGGGAATCTATTGTTTTAATGGGATACGCATTATACAAAACAAGTTTCACCGATCCAACCGTCAACCTTGTTTGTATATGATTCAAGATCGCATACGCCAAAAATGGAAAAAAAAAAACCTTCAGAGATCAAGAACGGGACAAATCTTTTCGACGGTTATAAACAAAAAAATCACGATTTAACGGTTATTTTAACTCCGATTTTGATGATTTTTTACAACTACACTTTTGGATCCTATATGAATACAAGGAACTGATTCGATCGTCAATTTAAAACATTTACACAAGTTGATACCACAAAATCTTATGTTATACTTGATGAAAGTATAAATAAAATACAAGTAGTAGGGAATCTATTGTTTTAATGGGATATGCATTATACAAAACAAGTTTCAACGATCCAACCGTCACACTTGTTTGTATATGCTTCAAGATCGCATACGCCAAAAATGGCAAAAAACAAACCTTCAGAGATGAAGTAACGGGACAAATCTTTTCGATGGTTATAAACAAAAAAATCAAGATTTAACAGTTATTTTAACTCCGATTTTGATGATTTTTTACAACTACACTTTTGGATCCTATATGAATACAAGGAACTGATTCGATCGTCAATTTAAAACATTTACACAAGTGGATACCACAAAATCTTATGTTGTACTTGATGAAAGTATAAATAAAATATAAGTGTTAGGGAATCTATTGTTTTAATGGGATACGCATTATACAAAACAAGTTTCAACGATCCAACCGTCAAACTTGTTTGTATATGCTTCAAGATCGCATACGCCAAAAATGGCAAAAAAAAAAAAACCTATGAAGTAACGGGACAAATCTTTTCGATGGTTATAAACAAAAAAATCACGATTTAACAGTTATTTTAACTCCGATTTTGATGATTTTTTACAACTACACTCTTGGATCCTATATGAATACAAGGAACTGATTCGATCCTCAATTTAAAACATTTACATAAGTGGATACCACAAAATCTTATATTATACTTGATGAAAGTACAAATAAAATATAAGTGTTAGGGAATCTATTGTTTTAATGAGATACGCATTATACAAAACAAGTTTCAACGATCCAACCATCAAACTTGTTTGTATATGCTTCAAGATCGCATACGCCAAAAATGGAAAAACCTTTAGAGATCAAGTAACGGGACAAATCTTTTCGACGGTTATAAACGAAAAAATCACGATTTAACGGTTATTTTAACTTCGATTTTGATGATTTTTTACAACTACACTCTTGGATCCTATATGAATACAAGGAACTGATTCGATCGTCAATTTAAAACATTTACACAAGTGGATACCACAAAATCTTATGTTATACTTGATGAAAGTATAAATAAAATGTAAGTGTTAGGGAATCTATTGTTTTAATGGGATATACATTATACAAAACAAGTTTCAACGATCCAATCATCAAACTTGTTTGTATATGCTTCAAGATCACGTACGCCAAAAATGGCAAAAAACAAACCTTCAGAGATGAAGTAACGGGACAAATCTTTTCAACGGTTATAAACAAAAAAATCATGATTTAACGGTTATTTTAACTTCGATTTCGATGATTTTTTACAACTACACTCTTGGATCCTATATGAATACAAGGAACTGATTCGATCCTCAATTTAAAACATTTACACAAGTGGATACCACAAAATCTTATGTTATACTTGATGAAAGCTTAAATAAAATATAAGTGTTAGGGAATCTATTGTTTTAATGGGATACGTATTATACAAAACAAGTTTCAACGATCCAACCGTCAAACTTGTTTGTATATGCTTCAAGATCGTATACGCCAAAATGGAAAAAAAAAACCTTCAGAGATCAAGTAATGGGACAAATCTTTTCGACGGTTATAGACGAAAAAATCACAATTTAACGGTTATTTTAACTCCGATTTTGATGATTTTTTACAACTACACTTTTGGATCCTATATGAATACAAGGAACTAATTCGATCCTCAATTTAAAATATTTACACAAGTGGATACCACAAAATCTTATGTTATACTTGATGAAAGTATAAATAAAATATAAGTGTTAGGGAATCTATTGTTTTAATGGGATACACATTATACAAAACAAGTTTCAACAATCCAACCGTCAAACTTGTTTGTATATGCTTCAAGATCGCATACGCCAAAAATGGTAAAAAACAAACCTTCAGAGATGAAGTAACGGGACAAATCTTTTCAACGGTTATAAACGAAAAAATCATGATTTAACGGTTATTTTAACTCCGATTTTGATGATTTTTTACAGCTGCACTCCTGAATCCTATATGAATACAAGGAACTAGTTCGATCGTCAATTTAAAACATTTACCCAGGTGGATACCACAAAATCTTATGTTATACTTGATGAAAGTATAAATAAAATATAAGTGTTAGAGAATCTATCGTTTTAATGGGATACACATTGTACGAAACTAGTTTCAACGATCCAACCGTCAAATTTGTTTGTATATGCTTTGAGATCGCATACGCCAAAAATGGCAAAAAACAAACCTTCAGAGATCAGGTAACGGGACAAAACTTTTCGACGGTTATAAACGAAAAAATCAAGATTTAATGGTTATTTTAACTCTAATTTTGATTATTTTTTATAGCTACACTCCTGGATTCTATATGAATACAAGGAACTAATTCGATCATCAATTTAAAACATTTACACAAGTGGATACCACAAAATCTTATGTTATACTTTATGAAAGTATAAATAAAATATAAGTGTTAGGGAATCTATTGTTTTAATGGGATATACATTGTACAAAACTAGTTTCAACAATCCAACTTTCAAACTTGTTTGTATATACTTTGAGATCGCATACGCCAAAAATGGCAAAAAATAAACCTTTAGAGATCAAGTAACGGGACAAAACTTTTCAATGGTTATAAAAGAAAAAATCACGAGTTAACGGTTATTTTAACTCCGATTTTGATGATTTTTTACAGCTACACTCTTGTATCTTAAATGAATACAAGAAACTAATTCGATCGTCAATTTAAAACATTTACACAAGTGGATACCACAAAAGAAAAAGGCAATGCAAGAACCCCAATAGAAAAGCAAAAGGAAAAAAAAAAAACTTTACGTAACGGAGGTACAACCGTAGCACAAAGGTTTTTTTTTTTTTTTTTCTTCCTATGTTCCACAGTTTTAACTTCTTGTATATCTCTTCCACTCCTGCCTTAAAATTATTGTTTAAGGACCTATATGATGAGACCACGTATTCAAAATCGTAAAGGGTAGAGACTACACCTAAAATGATTACTAACCATGTAATAGAATAGTGGTTTGACAAAACTATAAACTAGCTTTTTCTCTAAATCTCTAACATTCTAGCTTCCTCCTCCCAATTTGGTGAGAAATGAAATCATTTTTTAGCACACATCAATCTATCCCTAAATTGGATCAAGTTAACTAAGCAGCTTGCAGTTTCTTAGCTTTTGTTTCCCTAAACCTATCAAAATCCTTCATACTCCTAGTCATTCATTCTACTCATTCAATTGTTCAAAACCAAAACTCAACTTGTTAAAAATAAGCACTGACAAAGATAATTAAAGAAAAACATAAATACACAAAAAGAAAAGGGCAAAAGACTGTTTACTACCCTCATGTTTCGTGGTTTTCAACATTTAGTACATCAATTTTTTTTCATCCCAGAGTCATACCGAAAGTGTTAATTTTGGGACAATTTCATACATCCGTTAGTCAAACTGTTAGTTCTCCCATTAAGTGATGACGTGGCGCCCATGTGGACAATGATTGGGCGCCATGTGTCATTAAAAAAATATTAAAAATATTTATATTAAAAAAAAAAAAAAAAACCATAATCCCCTTCTTCTTCCCTGCAACCCGCACCCTCCCCAGATTTTTCTTCTTCTTCTTCCCAGATTCAATTTTTTTTTCCTTTTCTTTCTTCTGTTCTTCTTCTTCTTCTTTCTTATCTTCAGGATTTAAAAATTTCAAACAAAAAAAAAACAAAAACAAAATCTGGGCTTTCACCCATCCCGACACCCTCCCTCCTTCTCCCTCCCCTCTCTTCCATGCACCCATCATCCCCGCACACCCACCCATTCCCCTCCTTCTCCCTCCCTTCTCTCCTCTGCAGTCCACACGGAGCCCTCTCACCCCTCCCTCCGAAGCCACTGGGATGAGGTCGAGCGTCGTTGACACGGGGGTTATGGCGGAGATCGAAGGCCCCTTGAGGACCCATCAAGTCCGACGACTTGCAATTCCAGATTTTAATTTTTTTTTAATAATTTTTTTATACCAGATTAATGTTAGGGTTAGGGATTGGAGGGAGGGTGAGAGATCTCTGTGTGGACTGCAGATGAGAGAAGGGAGGGAGAAGGAGGGGAATGGGTGGGTGTGCGAGGAGGATGGGTGTAGGGAAGAGAAGGGAGGGAGAATGAGGGAGGGGATCGGGATGGGTGAAAGCCCAGATTTTTTATTTTTTTTGTTTTAAATTTTTAAATCTTGAAGATAAGGGAGGAAGAAGGAGGGAGGGGGGGTCGGGATGGCTGAAAGCCCCTTTTTTTTTTTTTTTAATTTTTATATCCTGAAGAAGAAGAAGAAGAAGAAGAAGAAGAAGAACAGAAGAAAGAAAAAGTTGGGAAGGGTGCGGGTTGCTGGGAAGGGATTATGTTTTTTTTTTTTATAAATATTTTAAATATTTTAATATTTTTTAATGACACGTGGCGCCCAATCATTGTCCACATGGGTGCCACATCATCACTTAACAGGAGAACTAACAGTTTGACTAACGGATGTATGAAACTGTCCCAAAAGTAACACTTTAGGTATGACTCTGGGATGAAAAAAAATTGATGTACTAAATGTTGAAAACCACGAAACATGAGGGTAGTAAACAGTATTTTACCCAAAAGAAAAAAATCCGAACATAAATGTAATCAATAAATAGTTAATTAATTAATCAAATAAATACAATACTTGAAGGTGAAGATGGTGAAGGTTGAGAGAGATGGAGAGTCTAAAAGAGAGAGGTTGATTGTGAAGAAAAAGGCCCTTGTGTGTTTTGCGCGGCGTAGGTGCACCTGCGTCACGCAAAGTTGGGATGGGTTGGCGTCAAAATTCTGCGCGACGCACAAAACGTCGCGCAAACAGCCTTTGCGCGACGAAGGCTGTTTGTGCGACGTTTTATGCGTAGCGTCGCGCAAACATACTTTGCGCAACGAAATTTGCTGCGTCGCGCAAACATATTTTTGTACTAGTGAATTCAGAGTCTCTCTATCTTATGCTAATGTAATCCTTTTTCATATACTGTAATTTCTTAACACCCTTCAGTTCGATCGTACCATAACTGTGATATAAACTTCCATGCATCTCACTGAGTAACACCCTTCAGTTCGATCGTACTGATGTTTCTGCATCTCATAATTACGTTTGACTTAGCGTGAAGAGAGATCCAAAGAAATGAACGTATTACCTCCGTGGAAAAGAAGTTTTTCTTCATGAATGCAGTAGCATGGAAACATGTTCTCTAATCCCAGAACTTTAGTAGTGTGTGCTCCATATGACAGTGTCACTCAAGACTTTCTCCTAATTGGGTGCACAAACTTGATAAGAATATCTTTTATATTTGTATCATATTGTTGATCTAGTGTTGATTGTGTGACTTAATAAATGATAAGACCGATTTCAAATAATTTATATTATTTTCTTGCTGAGCATGAAAATATCTTGCAGAAACTCAACTCACTACAAAATTGAGAACAAGTAGAGGCAAAAATATTTGCACCTATTAGTTTAAATTAGGGGCAAATAATGAGGTATTTCGCACCTATAGTTAGGAGCGGAGGATATTAAATTTGTACCTAAAAGGCGTTGCTATTAGTAAATAGGGGCAAATAGGTACTTTCCGCCCCTAATACAATTTCTGCCATGTAAGCTAATCTGGCATGAAAAACATATTGGTGTCAATGTTTATAGAATTAGGGGCGATTTATAATGCCCCTCCTTTATTATATGCATTTAAATATATCATTTAATTATATTTGATTTTTTTACAATTTGGCGATTCGCTCCAAATAAAATTTAAATTAATAAAACGTCAATATTATTTATAATTGATTTTAATAACCAATTTTTTCATTCATAATTTTAATAACCAAATTTAAATTCATATTATTAAAGCTAAATGCATTATTATTGAAATTTTAACATTAAATATATACATAAAACAAAGGTATCAAACTTGTCTCAGAGTACATAATACAATACAAAAGTGTTGATAAAGTATATTTTGACGAGATGACTGTTGCGGAGAAGGAGATTGACGTTCAGAGGGAGACTGTTGTTGTGAAGAAGACTCATGTTGTGAGTGTGGAAGAAGACGTTGCTCTAATGAAGATATAATCTGCTTCAAATTTTGAACCTCATTTCGATCTTGATGAGACTCTTCATCATTGTTGAGCAAAATTTGCTTGAAGTTGTAAAAATTGAGATTCCAAACAAGCATAATCTCGTCCCTTACGTGATTGACGACGTGATGAAGATGTTGGTTGAGTTTGTTCAACCCAAGGTACCATATCCGCTGTTACCCTCACTCCATAACCACGAACTCTATCACGTCTCTCAAATCCCATCGTCATTACATATGCTTTTTGTCTTAACTCGGTGTCTCTTCGTCATTGGTAGCAGCTAATTGTCTTAATTCCTGAGATATCGTACCCTGAAAAAAATCTAAAGTTATAATTCATTTTAATCTGCCCCTAATGATTCATTTTCCTGTAGTGATTATTGCATTTAATTTTCACAAACATGTTTCACACATTTTTTTATTGGTTTTGCAAAATTCTACGAAAACCGTACAAAGCCTATTTTCGTTCAATGAAAGATACAGAGTGAGGTTTTTTTTTTTTTTCAATAAACGATATTATCTACACTAAGGGAGAAAGGGTGACTTAACTTCACTATAGGCTAGAAATAATGTGGTTTAAATTCATTTTTGGTAATAATCAAACCTAAGACTTCTCACTTACAAGTGAAGAAAAATATCATTAGACTGTAGTACTAAGTGGCTGTTGAGTTATTTATTTATATAAACAACATGACACTAAATTCATCTATGGAAAAAAAAAATTAATTTGAGTGCAAAAAGTAAAGCACATTATTTTAACCTCAAACCCAATTCTCCAACAAAAATTCAACCTTTGTTGCTAGTTGCCTAAACCCTAAATATATTCGTGTTACGATTGTTGCTTGATGCCTAATCCCCAAATATATACACACAAAACCATGCACGCATGCATCACATCAAAACGCTTGTGAGTTGCCAGTTGCTAGTTGCCTTCTATACAACAATACATGATCTTATATTTTCTTTACCATACACCATAAATTATCATTGGACTAAAAACTCATTTGTTACAGTAATGATGGCCTTAAACTTATTTCGCATCATAATTGGAAATAGTTGGGGACCTTGGCGGTTGGCCACAACATGAATATATATGTGTCTATACATGCTGCTATATCGTACAATGCTTCATCAATTTCTTAATTAGTTTGTGCTAATTACCAACAAGTTGAAGAAGTTGATTTTGTGTCATTATTTACATTCTTCAATGCATTTGTTAGCCTCTTGTTTTTTTCATGCATTTGTTAGCCTCAGAAAACATGATCAGTGACTGATTAATTATGGGGGAGTGATCTATATATAAGAACAAGGATCCTCTCCGGATCCTCTTTGGATCATTTTTGTGAGAATCTGAGAATCAATTAATCGTGTATGTTTATCATACATTGTGCAATCAGTGTTAAGTACTATTTATATTTAATTTAAAATTTAAAATTTAAAATAATTTCTAACCGCACGATGTACGATGTACGATAAACAAATACAATTAATTGATCATCCGGATTCCATAAAGAGGATCCGAAGAGAACCGTATTCCTATGTTTAATACGAAAGTAACGTCTACTGAAAAGTATTGCTACATAGTACGAGTACTCAGAATCAGAGGCGGAAGAAAGGGAAAATGCAGCTAACTACCTCCACCTACATCATCATGTTATTATTTAAATTTAGTACCATAGATACAGTGGTTACGTACCAGTTAGAAAGTTATAAATGGGAAATCAACCGGAATTGGATCCTCTCTAAGGCAAACCCTCGGGATCATCGGGATCCTCTAACACGGACCGTTGGATCGAAATCCAATGGCTACAATTATTATAACTTTAGAGGGACCCCATTGTTTGTAGCCGTTGGATTTCGATCCAACGGCCCGTGTATTAATGGATCCCGAGGGTTTGCCTCGGAGAGGATCCAATTCCAAATCAACCACCAACGCCCTGAGTCCTTTCATAGTAGACTGAAAAAGAAAAGAAAAAGAAGAGTGTGATATCATTATATTGAATTCATGTAGAAATTTTGTGGGCCGAAAATGAGTGTGATACTATTAATATACTTATGAGTTTAATATATTGAATTTACACTTTGAACTCATGAGTGTGATACCAATATATTGAGCTTATACTAGTATAGCAGCAGTGTTATAGGTATCAAACTCAGGTTGTCTGATACCTATATATAGGTATCACACTTACTGAAACTAATGTGTGTTAGAGCATCTCTAATGGGGATTTTATTCTCTTTGAGGCTACTACATTTTTAGTCTAATGAAAAATTTCATTCCTAATAAGCCGAAAAATAGGGTTACTATATGGGCTAACAACTTCATTTATTGGGTAGCAAAAATTAGACTACATATCTAACCTCAAAAAGTAGAGGACATGCACCAAATTGAAGGCCCAATCTTCATTTTTTTTATTCTTAGTTTAGAAATGAGTGGGCCCTATTTCTAATTCGAAAACATGATTTGAAATATTTATTTTTCAACCATGTGTTTGATTAAGAAAACATAAACAAACGGCTATTTTTTGTGTTACTGATTAAGAAAAAAAATTATGCTTTGTGTTCAATTTTCTTGATTGAAAAGTTCATAAAAAGTGATGAAATTTTACATTGGTAGATAAGAGACCTAAACCAAAAACACAAATAAACAACATAACTAAATTTTGAGGGCATTATAATTTTGTTATTTGAAAGCATAAACAACCAAAATCAATGGTTGTTAAGAAATGAAATCTTATCTTTTATGATTTCATAGAAACAAACCAACGGATGAGATGAAAATAAAAGAATCTAATCTAACGGTGCATAAGTGATGAAATTTAACTTTGTCAGAA